AGGTTTATGTATACTACGTTTTACACTTCACTCATGTGAGATAAGAAATATCCACGCGTAACATACGCTAATTGTTTTTTTTATTATCTTATATCGTAATATTGTCGGTATCGGCATGTACTAAATGAAAAGACTATTTATCATACACCTTGTAATATCGTGCGTATTATCTAATTTTTTCCCGAGTTGAAACCTCAACCAAGCATGTGACTTTCAATCAGTATTTATCGAATTACGTCATAAAAAGATTTTCCTTAAGTCTCATTTAAAGGATAAAAATAAAAATATTTGAAATATGTAAGAACGAAACTTGGGAGTGAAATAAATCAATCTCTCAACGGTTAAGAGCATTATGAGAGAATATTACATGAAATCTTGTAATAAAAAGATTTTTTTGCCCAATTAATATAACAAATTGAAAACCAAGACCATTTCTTAAGAACATATAAATAAATTAAATATTAGTTTCCGTATATACATACACGCACAATAAATATTTAACGAGCGAAATATTTTATAAAGTAAATATTCCGATGTTTGAACATCTGTTTTACGTTTTTAGTTTTACGTTTTATATTTTACGTTTTTTATAGTCAACAATGAAATTTATATTTCACACTTTATTTCAGCAAAACATTGTCTCAATTATTTTTATCATTTGAAAAATTAATTAATTTTACAAATAGTTTATTGCTTCTTGTTGTAAGCACTTTGATAAGATTAAAAAATTCTTACTACATTACGCATCGGCAAAGTTATTAATTATTTTACAAAAAGCAGAAATTCCTCTGTAAATAATTGTTTGGATATTGTAACTAAAACGATAAGCAATTTGATTTCGATAAGCAATTTGATTCCTATTTAAAAACCAAAACGACAAAAATGTCTAAGGTTAGAGATATCACCAATCATTGGTACTTAAAAGGTAAACCTTAATTTTCCTACTTGTGTTTCCATATCTATTTTTGAAGGATTAATAAGGAACGTAAGACGAAAGAAGAAAGAGGAGGAGGAATCATCTGTAAGATTGTATATTTACAAACGTGTAACAAAATATGAATATATCTCTTTAAATAGCGTAAAATACCTTAAATTCGTTACAACTAATTTATCGTTACGCATGTCCTTTGTGAATACGTATGAAGGAGTGTACGATTCTCGATTTCTGGTATATTCAGGTAACTTTATGTATAAAACATTCGCGATATTGATTTTAATTAAGGCACTTATTATTCGTTCACTCTATCCACTCTGTCCTTCCTTCAAATGCACGTGAAAATATCCTATTCGTTGTGATTCTGCGTTTGCACAGCGTTTCACATGCGGAACGCCACGATGAAATTTAACGAAACTCTACGATATCGCGATAGTAATACGTGTCAAAACTCTTGCGGAGAAAAGAAAAATATATATACCAATATGTCGGCGTATCATATAAAATACAATTAAGTATACCACGTTGGAGGATATATTTATTTTGCAAAGTTAACGGGCTATATGCCGTTAACATTCAAATGGACGGATTGGTTCCCGAGAGGAGTTCCCGTGCACCGAACACGCGCGTCGCAGGAATCAACAGTTGCGGATTACGCGGCGACGCGACTCAAAGTTTCGTTTCGTGCTTCACGCGGGTTCTGAACAACTGATTCGATCGTAAGGCACCGTGCGAATTATTTGGATAACAATTGTTAAGCATGACGCTGGACGCGCCGCACTGAGTATTGCAATCGGCAGGGCCGTTCCCCTCGTTGTTCTCGTACACGTGGCGCCTTTGCAGGACCTCGTCGTGATTGTGGCCGTGATGGTTAACCTTCGTTCGAATTTGCGCCTCGGAATCCGTCTCGTCCTCGTTGTCGGCGCTGTCCACATCGCCTGCAAACATCGTTATCGTCAAGAACGATACGATCATCGACGGTTCACGGTCCGATTAGCCCGATTTGTTCGCTACGTTTCCGCAAATATTTACGATGCAATCACGCGTCGGTTTTTAAATCGGAGCTGTGTGTACTTACCGTCGGAACTATTGGTGGACGGCAAGTAGAAACGCGACGGCGGCACTTTGTTGTTTCCCACGCGACGTTCTCGTTCCCTCGCGACATTGTTAGGATGATTATACTTGAACTCTCGGGGAAGCGTGTAACTTCTGGGTAACGACACCTGGCTGCCTTCCATGTCGCTAATTTCCGCTTCTCCCTCGCCTTCGCCCTTGGAACTTTCCTCGGCGCCGTTTTGATTCGTGTGCAGTCTGATGGAAGACGAAACTCGCGTTAAATAGTTCGTTCGGATATCGAAGGGAGGAAGGGAGGGAGGGAGGGNTTGGAGAAACTTTTCGCAGTACCTGTGACTAAGATGTCCGGGCGGCGACCAGTGAGAATAATGATGCGGGAGGCACCGCGGCGCCAGCAGTATCTCCGGCGTGTCCGCTCGCTCTCTTTGCGGCGCCGCCCTCCACGCATTCGAGGGATGCGGGTTGTGGTAATACGGGGAGGAGGGCGGCGGGGGTAGGAGACAGTGCATCTTCACGGGCGGCCAGGACGACAACACGCCGCCGCCATTTTGCTCGGAGAACGACGGCGGAGACGTGAACAACGGCGAGCTCGGAGACGTGTGCAGCTTCGTGTTCGGCGGTGGTTGCTGATTGGAGGCCGAGGGCGAGGTCGAGAAGGAGGACGTGTTGGCGGACGGTGGAGGGAATAATTTGCCCTCCTTGATCTCCTCCTGGATTGCCCGTAATTCGCGCAACTGCTGCTGCTTCTTCTCCTTCAGTTTCTCCCGTATCAGTGTGACGTTCAACGAGCCGCCGCCGGCCACCGCCATATCGGATTCGTCCTTCCGCTCGTTGGAGTTGTCGTTCTGCGCGCGCGCAAATAGATCACGTAAAATAATTACGCTGCTGTTATTTCAATTACGCTGATTATCGGTTACAATTAGCAGTCGAATACCCACCTGCGCGTTGGAGGAAGATATGGGCTTCTTCCAGAACGGGATCAACTGCCGGGAGCCATTGGCGACGTTGAGCCACTGCTTCGAATCTCCCACCGTCGTCACGGAACCGAGCACCGTGCCCGTTTGCGACTGCGGCGGCGGCGGCGGCACGAAAGTCGTCGGCTTCTTTTTCTTACGATTCGGATTCGCGGCTGTCGGGTTCGCGAAACGGCAATTGAACACGCCCGGTATACCGCCATTACTCAGCTTGACTTTCCTCATGCCGATGCTAATGTTGATCTTCTTCTCTTCGTTGTAATCTATCTGTTTCTCTTCCGCATTGTCCTAAAAAGAAAAAAAGTGTTAAGTTAATATTAGCGCTCGCGCAGAAGGAACGAACGATAACGAATCATCGGAAGTGATCAAAATAATATTTATTATAATATCTAATAAACATTTTATGATTAACATGTAATGAGTCGCTTGAATAGATCTGTAGTAGAAAGAGATAAAGAAAGAGGTGTTGCTTGAGAATAAAAAAAAAGTTCTCCCGATTTGCTATTAAGTCGTGTTATTTAAAAATACAAAAGTTTTCTCACATGTAATTTCTGTTGTAACATCTACTTGAAAAGTAAAAGGTCCGTTTTACCTATTGTTAGATCTACGATCCAAATTTATTATCCAAATTTATTATTAAAAACGATGGGAGTTCGTAGCGGAGACTTTAGTTCATATTTTCAACTCATCACTTTTATTGATAAAAGCGCTTCTAAAAGTGACTTAGGAACCACCTGATCAGTCAAGAGGCCACATTTAGGACACTTTTATTAATGAAAGTGGGTTGGGAATATTGACGTTTGGAATTAATGAAAAATAACGGGTTATTTAGTCGAGTTAGACCTGTTATTTGGAATCCGGTTAGACCCGTTACTTTTATTAGTTCTAGAATCTTTACTATGAGTCGCTACTGTCCTCGGTAAAGGACCGAGTCGTAGTACGACTCAACGATGCAACAGTCGGATTTATTATTCTCAAGTAGTACGTCCCAATGGTGAGTTAGACTACTTCTTATCTTCAAACAGTAGGATTCAAAAACAAATAAATGACGAACCTTTTATTTTCAATTAATCAAAGACAGATTAGACAATTTTCTCAGTACGATCAAAAAAGGAATTAAACAAACTTTCATTAAAGAGGAATAACAGTTCTGACCTGACAAAAAATCATATTATTGTAAAATGCAAGTCAGGACAGGGTGTTGATCATGTAATTTTTCCCTGATGGAAAATTCCAAATGTCTTCAAATTAAAAAATTAACACTTTTCACAGGTTTACACTTTTCTGATTGGAAAACTTTGGGATTTTCCACCTTAGGGAAAAATTCATGATCAACATTCGAGACAGGATTAAAGAAGATCTCTTTTACTCGGTAAGAGAGATCTGCTTCATGTCATACCTGATTTGTTAATGTTGTGAGATTCGAGCCGGTCATCCTTCCGCCAGCTTCGTACCTCAGTCTTCTTACGTGAAAAAATCTGCCGTAAGAAAGAAAGAAGTACAACTATCGATATTAAGAGAGCAAAGCGCGAAACGAGGCGCTAAATTTACCTGTAATAGAGACCCATGAAGAACATGCCACCAAAGAACAGAGCCAGGAGAATGAGCACCAGAGTGACCGGATGCAGATGATGCTGGTGGGGCAACAGATCGGTACGATTAACACCTGCCACCCACACCCCGATGAGCAGGCTGTTCTCCAGAAACATCACGGTGTAAAATATTACCTGCGGAAATCGTCGTGTGATCAACATCACGTCTGCTTGACAAAAGCTTGGAAAAAATATTCACACGATCGATCGTGCGTCCGATAAGCCCACTAACCATTTTCTGACGATGATTCGTCTCGTGTAGATTAACATACGCAAATATATACACAAAAGCGAGCAGGGAGGCGAGGAATGTCTTCCTGACCAGAGGAAGACGCTCGCCACCGTGAAATAGTCCGTCCGGCGTCAGCAGCAACCACGTCAGCATGGACAGCCAGTGCAGGGCCATCACGATCAGCAGCCACTGTCCGCCGTACAGCGAAGCGTACACGACCAGCGCTCCGACGCGAGCACTCACTGTCCCGAGCCGCCAGGCTAATTGCGCCAGCACTCCCAACCATGTTAGCACTAAGCGTTCAAGATTTCGCAGACGCGCGGCACCCTTACTGAAACTCGCCACCGCCCAACACACGCTCCACAACGAGAGTCCCGCCGACACCGCCGTCAGCTTGGCTAATTTACTGCCGTCCTTGCCGTCGCTGTCCTTTGGTTTCCCAGCATCTGTCGTCTCACCGTCATCGGTAACGCCGATGAACAGCAGATACAGCTGCAGAAGTAGCATCGGTGCGGCCTCACAGAACGCGTGTATCAGTCGTAATACGCAGAGCTCCCGTACCTGAAAACGGACGTGAGACGAGAGATCACGAGGCAAACAGCAAAGATATTCACTAACTCCCCGGGAAAAAATGATTATATATGGTTACATGTAATTATATTAAATCATAGATGAATTTTGCCCGTGTAAGTGGTTACATATATGATCATACATGTCCATACGAAAGAAAAAAATGATATTATGTCATTTAATTAAAATATCGATATCATGTGCTGTCAGAAGCACAAGTCAGCCAGAAGCGTTTACTTCGACTGTATTTGCATATAATTTGTAAACAACCGTATTTTTTCGTTAATGGACATATATGGTTGTATATAGTGAAATATGGGCAAATTTCATACATGATCTCCTTTTTCCTGGATTAACACGCGTAATTACACAGCATGCACATTTGTATTGCATTTACATCGTTGAGTGGGAAATTATAACATTGACGTCATGTTACTGTTGGTTGGTGTTCACTGGACACTACGTACCTCGTGTTTTACATAAGTTAAGTTGACTGGGATAAATAACTTGAAGTATCTCCATAGTACGCCGACTTGGGTAGAATGGAGTAGCAGAACACAGCCTACCGTCCAGTTGCCTATTTTTTTAACTGGACTCGCATCACACTCATCCGGCGCGTTGTTGTTTGTCAATTTGCCTCTAGCTCCCCAGAGATACCATCTTAAGCTAATGATCTGCGAAAGCATAAGTGAAAAGAACGATCGGACAGATTACTATAAGGCAATGCGGAGTCTATTTGTCGCATATTTGGAATCTGTTTGCTCAAATACAAACTTGAGAAATCAGCAGAGAAGTCGCTATGAGAGTGACGCTCAGCGGAAACAATACGGGCGGTGCTATTGCTTGATGGGCAAGGGCGTAGACCATCGCAAGGTCGAATACAACATCGCAGAAGTATGATGCTAACGAAATAATGTTGAACAGTACGTCGCACAGGGGCAAAAATTCGTGCTGATGTTGCGACTGATGACACTGGGCCATAATGGGCTTTTATCGCCCATTTGGAATGTCTGGCAGTCTTTTTTTTATTTCACTTTCATCAATGCACTCTCCGGTCCTCCTGTGAACAAAATATCGCACCCTAAGTCAAATCATCCTTGCTAAATAAAAACACATGGAAAGATGAAAGATACATTTTCCTCGAATTTTCCTCGTAATTATTTTCCTTCCCAAAAAAACCGGCTAATTTTGATAATAAAAGTCTAAGCGTTTTCGCGACATATATTTTATTACCTCCAGAATTCCTCGCTTCTATACTCAGTGAAATAAATTGTACGTTTCCTCTTTATCGTCAAGAAGTTAACATATTACGGCAATTTCGGGCGCACAAAAGTGAAAACTGCACTTTCGCCCAGCGATAGGAGAATTCGCACGAAAATAACAAGGAAAACTCGACGGAGCGACGAGGCTCCCAAGTCACCCAAACACGGTTTCGATTATCCGTTATACGCGGGGGTGACGAAACTAACGTCGCTGCTCACGAGGTCCGCCTGCGTACGGCCTGCGCCGTACATTCAAACGCGCACGTCTCACGTAGGACGAATTCGTTTCCGGACGGATTTTTTAAAGGCCAACAGCGCGCGAGGCGCGCGGTAGTACCTGTATATACGCGTGTAACAATGTCGGCGCGTATAGCGCAGCGTGGGATCGCGCGCTCGCTCAGCGCATTCCGCGCGTGTCATTGACGAGAGCGGCGATCGCAAAAATCACTCTCTCGATCCGGACACGCTGCCGCCACCGCCGCCGCGCCGCGCCGCACTGCGCTGTGTAGCCGTTCGCCGCCGCCGCCACCGCTCGCGGGGAAACCGGGGACCAGCGGCTTTGGTATGCGCGGAATCCGCCCGTACGCGCGCGGAGCACACGCGCGCGCGCGTTTAGAGAAGAACGCGCGTTTCCACACAGAACGCTCCCTCCTGCTGCCGATCGACGGCCGGGCCTCGCCGTCGTCGACGTCGCGCGTCGTCCTCTAACGCACCTCGTCGTCCTCGTGACGTCTCGTCGTGCGTGCTCGCTCGTCGCGAACGCTGCATTTTTCGTGGGGACCAGCGCCGGCGAATCCCGGTTCTACGAGAGATCGCGCGTACAACGTCCCACGCATACCGGCCCCGCCGCCGATCTACCTGTTGATTCAGTGCAATTCAATGCGGCTATTTTACGCGCACGCCTCACTCCCTCTTGCCCTCTCTCTCTCTCTCGCTCTCCTTCTTTCCCTTCCCCGAGATCCGTACGGTTCGGCTCGGTCGCTCGCTCGCACACATCGCGGCCGCGTACACCTGGCGCCGCCGGTGAGGAACGCGAGAGCGAGCCTCACCTTAGGCGGCCCGAAGACGCTCGGGAGGATTTTTTTCGGGTTATTCTTTCTCCCGCGTACCGATCGCCGCGATATAGGAGCGTTAATGCGAGTTCAGGGCTTCTTCCTCTACTTATCGCACGATCGCACGTTCGGCGTTCCTCGGCGCGCACGCGACGTGCGCCCCTCGAATGACGAGTATGAAAGTTAATCGACAAATGAAAAGGTTTATTCAGACACTTATGAAAATATAGGCGACGCTATGCTCTCATACATACATAAAGATGCATATATGTAAACATGGTGTATATATATATATATATATATATGTGTGTGTGTGTGTGTGTATATACAATCCTCAACCTTAGAAAAGTCGAGTGCCGCGTCTTTGCTTTTATATACACAATTTGTGACTGCAACATGATGCGCATGAGATGTAAAAGTCTCGCCTTTGCATGAAAAAATTATCAAATATTTGCTGTAACAAATCAATGTAAACATTCGGAATTATTTTGTATATACTTATAGCGTTCTCGATCATTTGTGCGAGTCCTTTTTCACTACATCCACGCAACATTCGTACACCCCGATAATTGCACATAAACAGCTAGAGAATAATTTCATTCTTGTAGTTTCTCGTGAGTTCCTTATGCGGCAGAACGATCGAATTTAACAGAATTTTCTCCGCGGCCAAGCTCACGCTGGTACCTGAAACAAAGCGAAACAAATTACAAACTCGAGGTCGCAATTGAAGATATTCGCGACCCGTGCAGCACAAATTGGCTGGCTAACCGTTGCCTAACGTTGGCTGAACGTTGGCCAATTTGTGCCGCACGGCGAGATATTCTGTCTCGTTACCAAGTATCGTGATGGAAGGATTGAGCTTGCCATTGACGTTAAACAATGGTAAGTTCTCCATTTTCGCGAACGGCTTGTTAGGATTGGGATCGCATGGAGTCCCCTCAACGCGCGCCCATTCACCCACGCTGGTGCCCGTCCCTATGATGCTGTGTAAGATGAGAGAATGGGCGTGTATGTGTGTGTTAGCCAATACAATCGATTCTCGAATTCTCACGCCGGGCTCGATTATCGTATTCGGACCTATACTGACATTGGGACCTAGCTGCAAGAGACAGGAATTTTACATCAACACGTGAGCAAATTTTACATGAACATGTGAGCAAAATTCGCTCGTAAAGCGCCGTAATATCGTGGGACGATTTATCCTCATACCATGGAAGTAAGGTGTACAGTGGCCGATGGATGAATGTAGACATCCCCTATGATGTTGCAGGAATCATTGCTCATCGAAGCTAAGCGGTTCGGCTGTTTCTGCTTGTAGAGGGCCAGGTAATGTCGATTGGCGTATATCGCGGATCCCGCAGTCTTCACTTGCGACCACCATCTGAGCACAGGCAGAGCGAACAAGCGGCCGCTTCCCGCCAGACGTGTCAGTATATCCCGCTCGAACGCAATGTGCGCCGGATCCCTGCCGTTGCCGCACAATTGCCTGCAAGGAAATAAAGGAAGGGAAGAGTCGTGTCGCCTTACTTTGTGTTCGCCGAAGCAAACTTGAATGAAACACTCACATCAAGTGATCTTGCTGCTGATTGGCGTGAAAGACATCCGCCATCGTCTGAAAGATCTCCAAGGAAGCGAGATACACTCCGCAATTGATAAGGGTCGATACAAATGTCGAGGGCTTCTCAACGTAATGCGCCACCTCCCCTTCCTTCCCCAAAACCATACAGCCGTAATTCAGGGACTGCTGACGGGTGGCTTCAGTGGCCATGATTGTGAGCAAGGCCTGCTTGCTCTTGTGAAACTCCACCATTTCCAACAGAGGAAAGTCAGCACAGACATCCCCGTTCATTATGAAGAAGTACGATGGACTGCCCGAACGTATCTGGTCGCGGAAGTGATACATGCCTCCCGCCGTTCCAAGCGGGGTAAACTCCTGCAGATATCTGATAACTATGCCGTAAGTACTTGACATCTGCTGGACAAATTGTGACAGATCATTCTTGGGATACGCGCCAATTATCAATACTTCGCTGAGATCAGGCACTTTGGCGCATGCCTCAATGTGATGTTGTATCATGGGCAGTCCCGCCACTGGAAACAGCGGCTTCGGGATATCCAGAGAAAGAGGTCTGAACCTTGTCCCTGCGGAGATAAAAAAGCACAACTCAATAAAAACATGTAATATAATGTAATATAATGTGTATAAAATATAAATGCAAAAGCATATATTCTGAACTTTTTTCTGTCGATAAAAGCGTCCCAAAAGACGATTTAGAAACTACCTGGTTGGCTGAAAAGCTATATTTAAGACAAATTTATCGATAAAAGGAAATTCAAAATACGAGCCAAAGAATCTTTATACTAAAAACTTTTAATTGATATAATACACAAGATATGTTTTTAATCAATGACATATTTAATTGTCATGCAACCTTTACTACTTTAATTTATTTAGCGTTTTAAAGCAACGAAAATACAAACCTTTCAAGGGACCTCCAATTAAGATAATTGCTTTCAACATATTTGCACGATTTAAACGTATCCTCTGTGGAATATTTAACTGAAAAACTTCTTTTATCTTCAAAGATGAGAGACACGAGATAAGAAATTTGGCTGTAATAAAACGGTTACTCGAGCGATTATGTAAATCCGTGAAAAAAGCTGAGAGAACGCCAAGACTAATCACAAAATGTTGACGTATCCGTATGGATGGGAGGTGTTTGGACGTGTCATCACTGATGGTATCAGCGCGACATATAATTTCCGATAAATCGACTTTGTGGCGGCAAAGGATACGTATTCGAGGCACGTCCCTACCTGACTGTCACCGGTTAAACATATCTTATCTATCATTATCGATGATACTTCGTAGACTGGAAAAAAGCCCGCCAAAATGATTAAAATGCGGTATAATTTGATATAACTTCGGGAGATTGGAAATTGCTAGTTGCATCGTCAATTTTGCGTTTTATCTCAAGTTTTCCACGTTCTCGTCGATATTCTCGAGTCACCCGAGCAGTCTCGCCGATTCAACTTCTTCCGACATAATTAAATAGAACTTTTCTCTCTCTCTCTCTCTCTTTCTCTCTCACTTTTCCCTTTAATAATACAACTTTAAAGGATGATAAGTTCACAGCTGATACGACGATACAGTTCGCGCAATATCTTGTTCTTTCAGTTGCACTAACCGCACTTTTTCCCTTTTCCCATCTGACACTCTCCTTCTCCTTCCGACGCATACTCGTTTCACTTCGAGTGCAGGCGGTGCGACCGAGCGGTGCAGCTAGAAAAGAAGAGATCTATGATTCTCCTTCGACTACTATTAGTCAGTCATCGAGGGACAAGTTTCTCGCCTTGAAGAGCAGCGGCGCTGCCGTTCCGCAGTGCTGCCGACATTTCTTATCGCCTCGAAAACCCGCCTAGGGGAAACTCTCCCCTCGTCGCGCAAGGGAAGACCGGCTGGACGATACGCGCCCGTCGTAAGTGCGTGGTGGGTTGGAGGGTGGGAGGGAGATCGCGGGATCTCCGTTGAGGCGCGAGGTGAACCGAAACGAACCGAATCTCGCGTACGCTTGGCGCGAAATCCCGCCGTCGTCTCCGCGAAAACTCGCCGAAGGGCGCCGGTTCGTTGGCAGGAGAGAGCAGCGGGGCAAAGGGCAAGGAAGACGAGTGCGAGCGATCAGTTTGGCGCGGCCGTGCGCACTCGAGCCGAGGGTCAGCGCAACGCGCCGACGACGGTAACATAGAGACGCTCGCGTCGCCGACGTCGACGACAACAACGACGACGAGAGCGAGCGAGAGGCCCGCTCCGGTGCGCGACCACACCGCGCGTAGTCCGCAAGCGGGAAGTGAAAAGAGCCGTGCGTGCATGCGTGCGTAAAGTTCGCGTTCACGTACGCGCACGCAGTACGTGCGCCGCCGCATAAGACGAGTTCTCTTCTTCGGGGCCCGTTGATTCGTACTTGGGCGAGCCGTGCGCGCGCGACAGAGAGAGAGAAAGAGAAACAGCACGAAGGTAGGGACGGCGCTGGACGTGGTGGTGGGGGGAAGGACGGAGGGGCAAGGGAAGGTGACGATAAAGAGCGAGAGAGAGGGCGATACTCGTGGCGCGTTCGAAACGAAGCGCATCGTCGCTCGGCTCGCAGAGAGGAAGCGACCGAAGTTCGAAGCGGACCGACGTGCGCGAGCGGCCCAACTTTCGACGGACGCGAAGCAATTCGCGAAACGGACAATCCAGGACGCGTCGCCGCCACCGTCGTCGCCGCTCGTCGCGCTCGTTGCCGGAGTTGGTCCGCGAACGGATTCGCAACGCGAGCGTGTGAACTCTCTCGCCGTCTAGTTGTGTCGCGTCCTCGTTCGCTCCCGCCTGACGTATCGGGATAACACAGAGCGAAGAGAGCGAGAGAGAGAGAGAGAGCGAGGTTGCCGCCGCCGCCACAGTTGCTGCTGCTGTGATTCTCGAGGACCAGGTCGTGGGCGAAGAAGAACCACCTGCCGCGTAGAGAGGATGGAGATCCCGAAGGCCATGCAGGAGGAAATCAACTCCACGCAAAACAAACTGGGGAAAGCGATATTAGAGCATCAGGTGAGAGAGAAAGAGAGGGAGAAAGAAGGTGGAGAAAGAGAGAGAGAGAGAGAGAGCGAGCGAAGGCGCGTGAGAGCGAGAGACGCTATGTGTGTACGTATATATGCACGCGTGTGTCGATAGCGATCAAGACGGGCCCTGATGTGGGGTTAAGAGGCGACAAAAGACGCTTAAAGTACGCGCGAGCACATTCCCCGGCTCGTTGCGAAAGTTCTCTCTCGTTTCTATTCACCGACAACTTTTCATGCCCTCTCGCGCAGGGCCGGCCCTTGTCCGTCCGTCCGTCTATCTGTCCGACCGTCCGTTGCGATAGATCGATTACTCGAGATAACTCGAACGATAGATCCGCTAGCGTCTTCTGTGGATAATTTAAGCGCGCCCGCGGTCGTCTGCTCGCGCGAGCACGGTGCTCTGGGTCTTACGTGACAACGACGACGAAAGTCGTCGTATGAAAATCGACGCGAAAAGCGAGTCGAAAGTTTCATTTCCGATCGAGTGCGTCCTTGTATCTTTTTCTTTCTTTCTTTCTTTCTTCGCAATTTTCATCCGCCCTCTTTCTCTCTCACTCGCTCGCTCTGACCGCCCCCTCTACCCCCCTTCGCCCTCTCCCAAGCTTATCAAACTCTCTTCTCCGTCTATCCGTCCGTCTCTTTCTTTCTGTCGTACGCGTAGCTTTCGTTCGTTTAGAACCATTTCGAGTCTAGAGAAATTCGTCGCCCGTTGCGCCGTGAATCGAGTTAACAGTTTGAGTTTTGCAAGCGGATGAAATCGCCAACGGCGACTCGCCACCGAAAACTTGTTGATCGTTCCGCTTATCCGACAAAAGCGATACGTCGAAAGTCTCGGGTCCCTTTGTCGATCTTCCACCGGCACAGATACAAGAATGACGGTCTTGTTAATTGCTTCAGTTTTTTAATATAGTTCCCATGTGCTTGCTGAAAAATGCGAGACTTCTTCTCGAGGAAGTTTTAGGACAGGCGAGAAAAACATGAAAACTACCAGTTTTATCTACCAGAATTGATCTTGGAATTTGGATGAAGCGATGAAGCAATTAGTATAACGACAGTTATGCACAGGGACTTGTCCCTTTCTTTATTTGCTAATGGTTTCCTAATGGTCTACATAAGTTCTGGAAAAGAAAAAAATTCGTTGGAATTTGAATGTGACGACGAATTGACATAGTGACAGAATTACGCACAGGGACAGGCATTTTATCTGCTAACAATCCGCTAACGGCCAGATTCATCCCTTTTTCGTAAGTTTTTAGAAAGCTTAACAATTGTTCTCACTATTCATGTCCTACGGCTTTCTCGAAGCAAAAATCTCGCAACAACTTGCATGCCTGCGCAGATATGACAACAATATAATTGAGTCCCTTGACCATTTATCATGTTTTTCTATTAGAGTCCCTTAACCATTTATCATGTTTTTCTATTAGTTTTGGAAAGTACAATGGGTAATTCTCCTCATATTTGCTATCTGTCCCAAAATTCCCACGAAACAAACCTGTCAATTCCACGCAACCATGTACCTGGACAATTCCTTGTCTTTCAAACAAAACACATCCGTGAAAATCACTTTACCGAGCTTCCAAAATTACACTTTGCAGTTGCAATCTTGCATCTTTCTCTCATTACTATTATTATTATTATTAATATGTATTACAGTTCCGAGAAAGTCGCCTCGCGCGAAGATGACGCCCGACAGGATTACAAGCGTATCGGTCACAATGCCACCGGCGCTGTTTCAGCGGGCGAAATTTCAGAAAATTAACTCTTATTAATCGCGCTTATTAAGCACGACAGAGCGCCCCGAAGTTTGCGCATTCAATTAAACGGCCGTCTCAAATTCGCACGAGCGACGTCCTCGACGGACAATCGATACTTTCTGAATTACCCGGAACGCTTTTAATCCTTTCCCACGAGGTCGCGCGACGAAGTTTCTCATGTTATGCAGGCGCGCCTATCGCCTTCAAGCCAGAGACGGCTGTCTATATCGGAAGAATTAGGACGGAGGGAGTATCGATAAGCGACACGTCGGCTCTTCCCCGCCGCTCATCCGCTTATTTATCTGTTCCTCTATTCTGAATCGCCATCGCGACGAAATCGTAGTCCCGATGCATCGGAATGCATCGACGGGAAACAATGGTCGTCACGGTTTCGTAATCGGTTGAGCGCGATTTATGTAATCAAAGTTCGCTTATTTCGCTGGGTGGGGGACAGGTGCAGTCGATACTTGCGCCGAAGCTCCCCCGATGTCGCCGAGTCGCGCTTGATTTACTTTTACTGCGAAAATGTTGACGAGGTCGTTCTCTTCCACTTTGGCGCGCATGTCGGCTACCTCGCTCGCGAGTTTTGATTAATTCTCCATTCGCCGAGGATCGCCAGTGAAACGAGTCCCGCCGTCCGACCGCTTACAGCACTGACAAATTGCACGTGTCGATAGTTAAGTCGTGTACAAAAAAAAGGAAGAAGTAGAAAAGAAAAAGACAGAGAGAGAGAGAGAGAGAGAGAGAAAGAGCGAGGAAAAAGAATCACACCTGGTTTTCGCGCGCGCGAACAATATAAATTGGAAATTTCGTGACTATTTCCGTATTTTTTGCTCTTTATATGAAAACGCGACCGCAGTTTTGCCAAAGTCGCATTTGTCGCGAAATTTCGGCGCAGTTAACATCAGACGTAATTAACCGCGAGTAATATCCGCCGCGAATGCGCATTAGCGCTGAATACACGGATCGCGTTCCATCCGCGATTGCGTCCCCGCACCGCCGCGGAGAGCGTGAAAAGCGGGCGAATTGCGATAAGTTGACGAGAACGTTGCGCGTGAAATTTGAATGCGCGTCTTTGTCAATTAACGGCGTTATTAACGGGGTTGAGACCGTGGTAATGGGCGTAGTGGCGCATCGTGCTTCAATCGGTCAGATACGCCTGGCCATCCTCGCGGATATATCGCTGAATTGCTCAGCCCCCTCCCACCCCACCCCGTTCCCTCAATCCCGCATTACGCTACACTCTATATGTATGTCGATATTAATCGTTACTGTTTCTGCTTGATTTACAGAAGTGCATGGGGATGCTGAAAGAAGATCCGAATGTAAGTATCCCGTGAAAAAAATTCCATTCCCTCTGTATATAAATATTATATTAATATTGTTATATTAATATATTAACTCTCTATATATTAACATTCTAAATTAATTTTACATGGTAAAAGAACTTTGTGTTAAATTTAACGCATTTCACATAATTCAAACGGCCAAAATTTCTGGATTAACTTAACGCAAGGTGAATATGTTGAAAATTAATGCAAATATTATGTAAAAATTTAACAAAAGTTTATCAAAATTAACAACAATAAATATGTTAACCGACACCGAAATATAAAATGCGTTATTTTAACACTTACGTATTTTGAATATCGACTCAGCACAAAAGATATCGAGAGAGATAACAGCAATATATTAAGTTAATATACAAGTATGTCAGAAATTTAACATAAAATTGTAACAAAGATCGATTATAACACAGGGACAAAATGTTTTTACTGTGTGTATTAATATTCACGTGATAAGACATACACGCGAAAAGACACGCCGAGTAGTGCATTTTACGGTGAAAAAGTGTAACGCGAACCGTGCGAGCTTGCGACTCTCTGTTCCGAATCACGATGCGCGAGAGATTCATAGAACAATCGATACAGCGAGAAGACCTCGCGGGAGTCTCGCGCGACGTGTGCTTTTGAAATTCCGTTGAGCCCCGTCGTACAACAAACTTCGGCCAGACGTTCCGTCTCGTGCCAACTAGTGCTGGATACGCATATTAAAAGAAACTTCCCTCTGCCCGGGCTGTTTACGTAAACTCTCAATTGATCGCGGTATTCGAGAGATCGATATATAAAATTCCGTCAAATCGATGCCACGAAATATAATAATATTCGACGCATAATCTCCGATACACGAGATTGCCGACTATTAGTTGGATTTATAATTAGAATATTCGTCCTTTGTATTTACCGATAACGCTATCAGATATGTGCGCAAGCATTGCAACATTTGCAACAATGTTATCCGCGCGATAATTACTGCAGGCGACCATGTTACACACGTAGATCTTTCACGAAGGTATGACGCGATACAAAAGTGCTAGTTCTACATCGAAAGAGAAATTAATATTCTCTTATATGAGCAAGAATATACCGACTAATAGTCACATAACGTCAATATTATAAAATGTCCTACCTAACAATGTAAATGCAATATAATGCGAGTGTTATGTAATAGTTATATTGTTAAGTGGGAAATTATAACATTGATGTTATGTTACTAATAATTAATATTTACCAGATATTATTTTATATGAAGACAAGAACTTATTCTTACATGAAGAAATTCTATATAGTTTTACGAGAAATATCATATTCTTATTATTAAAAAATCATTTTATGAATTGAAAAGAAACAATATTAGATATATAGAAAGAACGATATCTTTTCAAAGTGATGCAATTCTTAGTTTGAAGATATCCTTTTATCTAATATTTCTTTCTCTCAATTTATGAAAATTATTTTTAAATAACATGAACAATATTTTTAGTGGAAATATAGGATTTCTTCAGAGAGAGCAAATTTCATCTTCATATAAAATTATGTATTCTTGCTTTTTATAGTGTGAGTCACCTAACGTTACAACTTGAATTATCTTTTATTATTATGAAACGTATGTTATTATTGACGATATGAAAAAATGTCTAAGGAAGAACTTACTTGTTCCGAAGAGACAAATGTTATTATAACTAAACATTTTTTTTTTAAGATCATGATTTTTGAGATTTCAAGACCATTTTTTTAATGAGACAATATGTTTTTATTATAACAATATTGTAGCTAATAAAAAGACAAATTCAATCATGTATGATACGTTGCTAATAGACCAACAACTGCTGAAGATATGCGTTATGGTAATATGTGAAAACAACGGCGACATTTTAAATAACATACAATATTCTTTGAGATACTGAAAAATATTTAGATGTCAGAGGTCACCATTTCGAACACATTCTGAAATAAAATCAAGTTGTTTGTGAGTGAAACGTATATCGTTTCTATACTATACATTACGATTTTATAATAATAACATTTCAGAAAGTCATAATCTCGAATCTCACAAGGTCAACATATCATATATTGTTGAATTTGCCTTTTTGTCAGCTGCAGTAGTATAATAATAAAAATATGTCTCATTTAAACAAATTGCTGATGACCTCGAAAATCTCGAAAATCACAATCATAATCTTAAAAAAAAATTACTTATAGCAATACCTGCCTCTTCGAGGCAAATAACTTCTTCCTTAGACATTTTCGCGTGTCATCAAGAATAACAGAAATATTTTAGGTTCTAATGTTAGATGAAATTCACTCCGAATACAAGAGAATATGGGTGTTGAATCATGATATTAATCTTTTTCTGTGCGTAATAATTCTAATTCCGATAATCCCAATTCTAGTAATATTATCGAGTCTTTATTTGCATCCATTCAAGCAATAACGTAATCGTGCGATGCGCTTCGTTACAGAACTCCGACATTCGCAAGCAGAAGGAGCAGATTCAGTTGCATATTCTTTCCTTGGGGAAAATCCAGGTAAGCGGACAATAGGTTTCCTTCGACGTTGAGCTCGTTGCGTGTCGCTCGCTTGTGATGTATCGTGATGTGTCGTGTTTTCTCAAGTTCTCACTGCGCCAAGTCTCGGCAATGCCGCGAGCGATCTTCCTACATATCGATTGTGAGATCGCGCTAATACGGAAGTCAGAAAGAGAGAGAGAGAGAGAGAGAGAGAGCGAGAGCAGGAGGGGGAGGAGGGAAGCAATTTTTTCCTCGCTCCGTCTTGTTTTTTCCAATATCAGTCGCGAAGCGTTCTGCTCGGGGAAAAAAATCCTTAACTTTGCATAAAGTACAATACTATCGATCAAGGTTGTTATTAATACAGGCGTCGCCTATTACAAAAACTTCGCCTTGCTCAACTTTTACAAGGCACGACTCTTATCGCGCCGCAATTACCGGTATATATCGCTTGCGTGGCAGAAACGCAGCAACGAAATATATCGATTATCGTCGGTCACGACGACGGAGCGCGCGCGCTGTAACACGCCGCGCGGGCACCGCAAGAAATCCCAATGACGGGCGAGAGGGTGCGAGTCGCAACTGTGAAAACTCGCGGTGGCCGAGACGCGCCGCGATCGGTGGAAATCTCCCTTATTATCGCGGCGGATTAAACGGACGCGCTGTCCGCTGTTTATCGCTCTCGCCGCGCTCGCAGGTTATATTTGTACCTTGCAACGCGCGCCTCCCTTTTCAACGGCGCGTTCTTTCTCCTTCGATCGCGACACCGTTGATAACAGGCGAGATAAATACTCGGGGAACACGACGAACGGGGACAGACAGATAATACGGTAGAGGCTGCGAGAGCGGGAAAGCGTGATGCGCGACCGTGCTCCGGGACGGGGAGGAAGGGGGGAGCTAGTGGGAGCGCGGGGTTGAGCAGATGAGGGAGGTTGGGAGGCGACAATTCAGAAAGAAGGAGCGAGAGCAACTTGGAGCGAAGGAGAAGCCGGCAGGCAGAGACGGAGGGGCTCAAAATCAATAAAATGTCCTGCGGAAACGTTTTCGGCTCTTTACGAAATCTCCGCATCTTTTTCGCTCGTTTGCGTCTTTATTCGGCGACTCTGACCTGTCGTTCGAGGCGTTTAACGCGAGCTCCGTCCGTTTAATCATCATTCAGCTTGTTTTTTCCTAAACAATCATCCAACTCTCCTCCTCTCTCTCTCTCTTATTTCGAAAGTAGCACGAGCTTGCCCGCGTTCTGCAGAAATGAAGCTTTAAACTTAGAATAAACGCCGCGCCCGTTTCGCAACATCGACCGCGTAACCGCGCGTAACGTCCAAGATCTCGTTACGTCATCATGCACGCGAATGCTTTATTGTGTGTTTTCTGAAAATCGCACGGATGAAAGTTCCCACCGACGCGACATCGTCCGAACGCACGAGCGTGACGATGAACGCATTGCCGCTTCGCTCGGGCGCGTCGGGTCTACCTACTTTACCGCTCGTGGGGCTGCTCTCTTCCGAGAGAGATTTTTTTTAGAAATTGCCGATAGCTAAACTCCACGGTGCGCGTTTATATACACGTCCTCCCCGGTTTCTAATACGCAGAAGCAGATCGTGGAGCGTCTGCGCAAAACGGTGCAGAACGATGCGGCGGACAACGCGAACGGGTCGAAAGTTTCCATAAAGTTTCCATCTCTCTGGGGTTTGAACAACAACAATCATATCACGAATAACAACGAGACGAAACATGAAACGGTCGCCAACGGTTTCGAGACGAAACCTTCGAAGGAGGACTACGAGGAGGTCGTTGCGAACGGCGATGTTCCATCACCGTTGCAACATAACAATTGTACAAAGTAAGTGTGCCTTGAATGAACACGCAGTACGCAATATCGAACGAGAGGGAAATTTTCTTCCAACCTGATCTCGACTAATGTTCAACGGAGACGTTGGAATCCCTTCTCAATTTTTCTCTTTACAGACGAAGCCCTAACTTGGTGGTAACTGTCTCCGGTGAAGATGACATCGTCGAGGTGCCAATGGACGAAAATTCGAACAAGAAACAAGATGAGATGGAGGAGGAAAATGAGGAGAAGGTGAAGGAGAAGCTTAAGAAAATACTCCTGTCTTATCTTGAACTTATGACCACGCAGGAAGCTTTAGAACTCCAGAACAAGAAAGCGGAGAGGAAGCGTCGCAGCACGGCGAATCCACAGTTCGTGTATTCCATGATGGAACAACCGGCTGTAAGTACACACATATATATATATACACACCTATATATACTAACGTTTCTGCTTAATGCGTGAGTATTTTGTCGGTACAAGTTGACGTCGGCATTTGAACGCTCGTTTTCAGAAGCGGCAGAAAAGGGTCTCCTACTTGCAATCCGGAAATGCGCCTCACACCCGGCAGACGACTGCCCGTATGAACGGCCCGTCGCCGCCGCCATCTAGCAAAGCTCAAGCAACCAAATCTACCTCGCTACAAGCTCGCGCGAACACGAAGTCGCTGATCCCGGTTCAAAAGTCCAGTACTAGGCCGAATATTCTCAGAAACGCGGATAGCAAAGTATTCGCGAGCAAGAACAAAGTCGACGACAAGCAGACGCAGTCATCCGTGACCAGTGCCAAAACCGTTCAGATAGGCGGCAAGACTGTCCACTTGCCGGCATTGCCGTCTAGCTTAACCATCGAAAGAATCGATAATGACTCCGTCTTATCTCCTGTATGTCTCTCTTGTAGGAACAAAACTCCAGGTCAGTGCAAGTATTTGATCAGTCTTGGGCACTTCATCGCCTTAATAATTAATGTACAAGAAAGAAAAGAAATGTACCACGAACGATTGTGATAAAAATTCGTTATTTCTTGCAGGTCCGTTAACAGTATGCGAGATTTGCTCATGGAGCTATCACGTCACTTGCCATACCATGCCGGCTCCACCCAACACGTGTCCAAAATGTACAATGGTAATGGAATTAAAGAAGAATGTGCAAAAGGAAGAGGAAGCTGAGGGTGGGGAGCGGATGGATGGGGAGAAACCGCTCGAAGGTGACAAGCTCGGTAAATCGTCCTCTGTTCGTAAAAGGAAATCTTCCTCTAACCATAAGAGGAGATCTGTCTCTAATCGTAAGAGGAAATCTTCCTCTGCTAGCAAGAGGAAATCTTCCTCCAAGGAGGCAAAGCGTGTGATTGACAAAAAAGTTCTTGATTCCGTAGACGTTAATTTAATTTGACGTTACGGTTGTGGAGTAGACGTGTTAATTCGACGTCGCGGCAGCAATCTGAGACTTTTTGTTGCTGTAATTTGGCAAATTCTCGATACCTATGATTGAACATAGAGTAATGTCGAGGTCAATGCAATATGAAAACTTAATCGTGATAAAGTCACAAGTCATTGTACCGGTAAAAGGCAGTACAGGTACTGTTATTGTAAATGTGGGAAGAAGGATTTGTATAACATAAGACCATAACTTCTAGATTTAACATACAACGAGGTATCGCAGCGTTGCCGCAGACTTAATTGAGCGTAAGCACGCACACTGAATAAGCGAGAGAGCAGCATGCCGGAAGAAGTGTCCGCGTGTGAAACCGGCTTCTCGAAAATACGGCCGAAGAAATTACAATTAGGGAGAACTTTTTGGTCGATCGTCCACGATAGGACACAAAAAAACAACCTGTGTATTGAACGCGAAATATCTTGCAGAGGAGAAAGAGAGAGAAAGATATGAGCTGCGCGAGCGAAACTCGGATCTGAGATTGCAGGTCTACGAGTTGGAAAAACGCTCACAACTACTCGGCCAGTCACTCCAGGTTCGTCCTGTGGCCTGCGTAGAGACAAATTACAAAGTTTACTTTCGTTTTTGGAATGCTCCTCAGTTGATCGAATTGTAAATTGCAAACTTCCTTTGATTTCGTTTCACATGATACCTGCAAGATTTCTGCGTTTTTATTTACACCCTTCCGTTATTTGTAAATGCAAAATGTGGAAAATGAACAGAGATGGGTCAATCTCTCGCTTATTGCAAAATAAGCCAAAGTATAAAACTGTGATATGAAAAGGAAATATTTCACAAGGTTGACCAGTCTTTCAATAAGCTAATTTTATTATTATTATGTTTTATTATCATTGTATATTTATATAAGTTTAACTGTGTTTTTTTTATGAATTTGGATTTATCCTATTGCTGACCTATCAATGTTGTTTCTTTATTGTATTCGTAAAAATATAGATTGCATGATTAGAGACTACTCTTCTTGCGATTCAGAGACGCGAATAATACTATTGATCATGCGCGCGTACGCAGTTTGATCCGCGCATTCTACAGAATGAAACTCGAGCCGAATCAAAGAGACCCTGCGTGCGAATTTAATTTATATATAGTTCAATTTATGAATGGCAAACCGAGACTCATATTGTAAGTCGAGTAATGTCTGTACTGAGATAAAATTTTCGCTTTGTTTTCTTTCGTTGTCACGAAGGAAAACGCAAAATTAGATCAATATATATATACCTTTCATTGTCCTTTGTTTTTTCAAAAAAAGTATTTTTATTTAATTTTAATTTACGTTCGTAAGTTATTACCGTAACTCGAAAAACAGTTTTGATTATCGTATGCACATACTAATATCTGCTCGTACTTTTGGAAGTAGCCCATTTTTCATTCATTGAAAGTATGATCTTTGTGCAAGTAACGCTGAGCAGCTGATTTGTTAGGAATATATTCCGTGTAAATATAACTGCGTTCGATTTTACGTGCAAATCGGAGACCATCGGTTTGCTCTTAACACATTGACAGCCGACGACCTAACAGACATTTAAAGCTTGAGCGCCGGCCTTATTCGCTTGTTTCTGATCACTGAATAGCCAAAAAAAATATTTAAAACATTATGTATTTTCGTAAAATAGTACATTTTATTTTCATATTTGTCACATACAATTTAACGGTAATTAAAAATATAAACAAAATTGAAATTTTTAATTTATAATTTAAAAAAAATACAGTTTCTCATTTCATGGTGGATTATTACATATATATAACGTAAACAGAAAACAAAAGTTTTAATATTTAAGGCAAGTGTGGTATTTCTCGAAACGTTGTCCAAGATGTAAAGGTACTAAGCATTCAGCACACATAAAGTTACTCTCGCTTCTTTTTACTGTCGCAGCTACTCAAGCAACAGACTCAGAAATCCGCGTTTTCGCGGGACCGGCTGTCAATGTGTTAAGATTATCTTATGATAATATCTAATATCTAGCGAATGAAACGACTTTCCCAGAGTAAACTGATATCTCCGATTTGCAAAACCGAACCCAGTTTATATACATAAAAACGGAAATATAAACTGAATGATAATTGAACTCTATATCTCAAAGAATTGCAATCGTTTTTAAGACAGCCCTAAATTGCTAAATAAACGTCCCTAATAAACTAGCCGTTCAGTAAACTAGCCATACAGCTCGACGCATGTTTATCGGTAATATTCTCCCAAGAGAAAGAGAAGCTAGTTTTTCTTCTTTTTTTGCAAGAAAAAAGGAAACTAGAGCTGGCGTTAGATTTAAAATCCGAAAGGCGTCGCCACCGAGTTTCACGGATTTTGTAAGAAATGTTAGATGGCGTCGTTGGAGTGTAAAGATTAAATTTACATGACCATGCATAATATGAACAACGAAAATATCGAATGAGAATGACTAGACTGAAAGTCGAGCACAGCATCTCTCTCGCGTTCCGCCAAGTTAATCTGAGATGAAAAATCACGCGCGACTCTTATTTCCCCTCCTATTTTCATCGCCTCTCTTCACGAACAAGTACTGAACGTTGATCTTCTTTTATCTTTTCAATAGTTGCAACAACGCTTGCGTCAGGAGCTATTGGGAAAGCAAGAGAAGACTCAGAGATCTATAAAGCGTCTGGTGGACTTCATAAAGCTGATGCAAGTGAGAAAAAGCGAGTCCTCTCCTCCACCCTCGGCATCAATCAGCTCCCCGCCTCGACCTTCCTTATCCCAATCACCTCCGACAACAGCTCGGACGTCGAGCAATCCGAGGACAGGAAGCTTAGCTCAGCCACCGATAACGAGCAACGACAAGACGTCGTCGCAGCACGTAACCCCGTCGTTCTCAGCCAGCCTCAGCGATCGGGCGTTACCTACGTCCAAGCCGAGGAACAAGTGTCCTACTCCTACCAGCTGCCAGACGCCCAGCCTGAAAAGCACCAATCATACCTCATCGTCAAAAAAATCACCGAGCCAAGTAGAAGGGCCGATCAGCCTACTGGCGATCAAACCGACGACCAAAGCCATTCTGCAGTTGTCAACTATCAATTGCCGGCCACGTCCGGCTGCAGCTCTTCCCTCGAGGCCGGCATCGTCGTCGCCCACTCCCTGCTCTTCGGCCGTAACAACCGTAAGAGGAAGACCGCCCGCGCAATCCCAGCACTCCACCGCATTATCAGCTCGGAAGGGCTTCTCCCCGTCAGCCCGGGCGACTATCAGCTGGAGCGAGCGACCCACAACGGCAGGAAGCCCTGGGCCAAGCTCTCGCGCAATAAACTCTGCGTCAGTCAGCAGTCAGCCGGCCGACCCGCTACAGAAACTCTATTCCCATCCTACAGCGACTGCATCGTCGAGAGTAGCGTCGACGAGCACCTTGAAATCGCAGGGCCCACCATCGGCGGATCAGCAGAGGAGAGCGCGAGCTTCGATAGCCGTGCTGGGAAGCACAGGCCGGCAAGAGCCGTCGTCCACTCACTGTTCTCAGGCAATAACCGGCCCTATATCGTCTCCGATCGTGCGCGCGAGCCACGAGGTTTCGGCGCAAACGAGCGAGACTGCCCACTCCTGCGGCAACAGCTCTGCCGTCTGGAGCAGCTGGAGCAGTCGCGCGAGCCAGGCCGCTCAGCAGCAACAGTCCAGCTCCAGCGGCGCGCCCTCACGAGGTTCTTCGAGCACGTGAAATTGGAAGAAGCGCATATACCAGCGCCACTTAGAACAGAGCTAGTACACAAGAGCAAGGTCGCGCTGGAGGAGAGGGAGCTCGGCGAGGACGTCGGGAGCCGGCGGAAGGGCGCACGACGCTACGACGGTGCCGACGGTGCCGGCGCTGCACTGTTGACGTCGTCCTCGAACTCCGACGAGGACTCGCTCGACGAGGGAACGCGGCGAGGTCGCGAGGCCGCGAACGGCGTCGCCGTCTCGAGGGACCCCCGCGAGAAAACCGTCGCGAACTGGTCGCCCCTCTGCCCTTCCCCGAGCGCGTCGTCGTTGGCGATCGCCAGCGAGCACGTCAAGTCGTCCACGCTATTTTTCCAATCGGCGTCGCGCGACAACAAACAGAGGGACGACGACGACGGGGCGCTACGTATCGCACAAAGCAATCTTTCGGAGCTTCTTAACGAGGTCTCAGTTCCTGACGATAAGGCTGACACCGAGAGACAAGACTTACCCAGTGGCGGCAGGCCGTCGAGTAGGAGCAGCATCAGCAGCAGCGGTGGCGGCAGCAGCAGCAACAGCAGCAGCGGCAACAACGGCAGCAGCAGCAGTGGTCACAGCGACACCCCGGAGCAAGCGATGAACAGCGTCAACGAGCTCGCGTCCTCCCACATCTCCAAGGAGATGCGCGAGCTTCTGAACGATAATCCCACCTCTCCGGGAGAGGAGGAGCTGGTGCGTTACGTGTCGGCGATGCACGGGAGTGATGACGACGACGTCGTCGACGACGAGGATGACGACGAAGAAGAAGACGAGGACGACGACAATGCCGTCACTGGTTAGATATAGTTAGGCTAGTTACACATTGACACTGACGTTGGCTTTGTCGAACCTGCGCGCTCATCGTGACTCCCGCTCAGAGATCCGCGTGTGCGCGTTCGGACTGAGCGACGCGCGAATCCAATCCTTGTAATATCCTATAGCAATTATGTATATCAGTATACGAGATCGCGTCGTATCCTAGAGGTATTTTACAACGACAGTTGTCCCCCCGTTGTCGGGGGCACGTGAGTTTTCAGAAGCGGCACGATCACCACCCACGCCTCCCGATGCACCGTGGCCTATACGTACGACGTAACGGAGAAGACGGCGTCGCCGGTCGTTACGGAATTTCGTCGGTCTCCGATTAGAAAACTAAAAAGAAAGAAAAAAAGAGTCCCGCGTGCGACATTTCTACCCTGTAAAAGTATTAAAAAAACATTGTATACATATGTAAGGAGACGCGTCGCGAATGTTCTTCCCCGTGAGAATTAATATTCTTCGTTCACAGTTGTGTTGTATGCTGACGTTGAAATCGTCCGAAAAAGCGATATCACAAGTGACTCTCATTGTAAATTTTGGACACACGATGCTTGTTTGCGATACGACGCTGAAGCCGATCGTTGCTTCCGACTCGGACGGAAGATTCGCGCGTATATAAGTGTGCATGAGCTCATCGGCATATGTATGGTCAGTCGCGAAAAGGTTGCCGCACGGGAGAAAAATTAGTCTTAAATCAAGAATAGATGTTCTCATGTACAAGCAAGAATATTATGATTATTATGATCTTCTTAGAAGATTTTTAGTCTCGAATTGAGTTCAAGTGATACTTGCATATAAATTCAATGAAATCAAGACTAAAAGTCTTCTAAGAAGATTATGATATTCTTACTTGTATATGAGAATATCTATTCTCGATTTGAGACTAATTTTTTTCGGTGCACCCTTTTCCCCGGTGAGTTTCGCAACTCGTACCTCGTATCCGGTGGAAAAATATATCCCCTGAGAATTGTTAAAGAACAAATTGTCCTATTGGACACCGGATGCGTTCTGAAACTTATCGAGGGAAAGGTGTTGCAACCTTTTTGCGACTGCACAAAAAAGAAATAGTCTTAAATCATAAGAATAGTCTTAAATCAAGAATATATATTCTCATATATATATAAGCAAGAATATTGCAGCATTCTTGGGGAGATTTTTGGTCTTGAATTCAGGCAATACTTGCACATCAATACAAATTCAATCAAATTCTTAGTAGATTGAAAATCTGCTAAGAAGACTATAGTATTCTTGCTTGTATGCGAGAATATTCTTGATTTGTAAAGCTAATGTTTTATTTTCTGCGTGGTCATACCTGCAGTTCGTTTCGTTTGCCGCTTAAACGTCCGCACGTCCGGCGTCGTGTGTATCGCGACACTCGTGATTCTGCGGCCCGGACAAGGCACAGCGCTCGTCCGGAGAGACGTCGCTTGGTTACGTTGATGAAAAAGAAGAAGAGAAAAGCGGACACGGGAGGAAGCCTAACTACTACGTAAATCGAGTCACATTACCATACTGCCTTAATAGTAAAGTAAAAGTGGTACTTTTTAAACCAGCAATATATCGGCAAGTGAGAGAGGGATCGTATTCTATCCCGATTGCGAACGCGCGACGACCGACATCCGTTGTCGATCTCCGACCGCGGAGGAACAATACGACTAATCAAATCTCGTTACCATAATCGAAAGCGTAGACATTAAGGGCGTCGTTGTTGTCCGGCGCAGTTCCGTAAAGCGACGCGACACCGAAAGCGAAACCGATCGTCCTGCTTCCCGCGAAAGAGTTATTACCCGCTCGAGTTTGCGATTCGAGTTATGATGAGATCCTCCGGATTTGTGTGGCGCGACACGTGTGCACGGAGAAATCGCTCGAATCGAGGCACGTCCAGGTCACACATACACACACACACACACGTGCGCGCGTTTGATCGTGGACACAGCGATCTCCGGTTTTAGACACGACGGCGACGCAGCCCCCTTTGTTTTCAACTTTGCGATCGTTCTCGTTTTCCCTCTCGCAAGTCTCTCCTTCTCCTTTCGCACGTGCATGCGCTTTACGCAAATCCGCCTGGACGGGCTTTCAGAGAATTTCCGCGTTTCGTTTTCGTTCGGCGAAGAAAACGCCAAAGGGCGGTTTCCCGTCGATTTTTATATTCGATTCTCGTAATTCCGTTCTCGCCCGACGGAGTCTCCGTCGCTGCGGGTCTCCCACTCGCCCGCAGCGAGACGAACAACGTGCGTTGTTCGACCGAGAGAGACGATCACTTCGCGATAACGTTGCGACGGTGTATTACATCCGAAATACGCCGAAATACGCTGTCACTTTTCTCTCATATTCAGCTGCGCGAGTGAGTCAGTTTGTCTAATTTATTTCGCGTTTAATATTATACTTTCTTTCGGCCGGCATCCCCCTTACCACCGGCACCCGCCCGACGTTCACACTTAACTAGCGTATATACAATTAAGGGAGAAAAGTTGTTATTGCAATGTAGGCAACGATATTGAGATCGAAATTCGTATTTTTTATGGAATAAAGCTACTTGAACAGCACGCACGCACACGTTCTTCCTCCGGCCTCTCTCGGCCTCCACCGAGACGTCGTCGTTGGAGCGCTCGAGCGCGCTCGTCTCTCTTTTATTCCTCGAATGCGCGATTTTCGCGTAACGTTGAGCGCGTTACGCAAATTGCGTGCGAACACGCCGCGCCGTAGGTTGCGTAGAGAGAGAGAGAGAGAAAGATCGTTTTCCTCGATTCCCACCCAATCAACTTCCTCTCACTCGGCCGCTTCAGCGTCGATTTTAAATGTCGCTCGTGCGACATTTAACCCGAACTCCCGTCGTCGGCGCGTCGAGCAAACCAGCGCGCGCGCGGAGTAACGCTTCGCCCAATCGGAGATGGCCGATATTCCCGTTGAAAAATGACTAAACCGCGCTGACGCGAGGGAGAGCGCAGCGGAGTTCCCGACTTGGACAAACAATCGGCTAATGACATGTAAATATGGCGGAGCTAATCAAGCGGCTGTGCCAACAGGCTACGCGAAGAGAGACCTCTCTCTCTCTCTCTTTCTCTCTCGCTCCCTCTCCCGCTCGCTCGCTCTCTCGTTCTCTCCCTCTCTGCGCGCGGAAGGGTATTCGATACTCGATGTATTTGCCTCGACCTGCGCACATGCATCGCGCTGTAGCAACGCGCGTACATATTTAATGGTTGCACGTTAATTGCGCTCTGTTTGCCCATTCCCCATTCTACGCTCCATCTACACGTCCACCTACATTCTCTTCACCCTTTCCGTGCCGCAATTCTCCTTTGTTAGCGTGTGCGCCGCGCAGTTCGATTTTAATCAATTCACCTCGAGCACCCGAGTTGGTTGGGCACGCTCGAAATCCCGCGGAAACCTACTTTCGCGCATCATATTGAACACAGTCATTTCGACGTTTACCATAACAAATTTTCGAGGCCGCCGTGACGCAAACGCGATTCGCGTGAGCGAGCGTGACCGCCGACACCGAGCGGCTGTTTTCCAGATGGACGGGAAATCAGGTGGTGGAAATGACGCTGGACGCTCGAAGATTCCCGGTCGAATTCGTCGCGGCGGAAGCAGCCGAGCGAGACGAATGGGACCTCGAAACGCGACGCGCGCATGCCGAATTCCTTTGTTATCTCGCCTTCTTCCTCTTCTCTCTTTCACCTTTTCCTACCGTAGAACGAGCAGAAAAGGTGCATAGACCCGCAAAGACTGACCATTGCCATTGAAGAGCTGAAGCTAAGATCGAAGGATAGAAATATGTTAACAGTAGAACTTTTTCTGTTATACAACATTGTAGGGGAGGGCGATGTAGGAAAAACAGAAGGGTGAGAGTGGACATAGTGAAGGAAAGAGAGGGATAATGTGTATTTGATACGTGAGAAGCATACAAACAGTACACCAGTGTGTGTACTCGCATACACTGAGAAAAAAATCGCAATTTTTCGAAGCAAATGCTTCTTGTGACCATTTCTTCGATATTTATTGGTTAGAAAAAAATTTGATGACGGAATATATATTCCTGTGAAATATACCCAAGTTTTCTTATTAATTTGTTTATTTATTTTCTTTTATTAGAAATAAAATTTGGTTCCGTCGTACTAGAATAAACGTTTATTTCTGTGAAATAAACCTCATATTTCACAAATAAATTATCGAGTCTTTTTTTCTCAGTGCAGTTATTAGTTCATCATACTTGTAACCATCTGTCGTTTCTCCTCTTTCTTCTCCCCAATTACACAATTAAACAAGGAAAGCACCACTGTCTCTATTGTCCTCTCTTACTAATGCCAACTTCAGCCTTTCAATGGGAAGCCTAGTCTATTTTATTAGGTTGTTCGCAAAGTTCGTTTTAAATTTCGCACGCTCCGCGATTAATAATCAGTAAGAGCGAGAGAATACCAGACGATTTTGTCGACAAACCTTCCCGGATCTGTGAACCTACCAAGAGAACTTTGCAGGCCTTCCTAAGTACAACTATTTTGGAAATCAGGTGGAAAGATAGGGAACTAGAAGGTCCTCATGTCATGATGTCCACAAATAGTACAGCAGGAAGGTGCTGGATTTCGAACGGAATTTCTTCCATATTCTCCCGGCCTTGCCTCATCCAACTATTACTTATTTTTATCTTTGAAAAATTTTTTTTGTGTTTTTTTGGAAGCCCTCAAAATTCACCTCGATCAATTCTTCGCCAGTAAGAAACTTTCATTTTAAAGCAAGAACATCATACAGCTACCCGAGAGATTGGCCAAGATTATTGAACAAAATCTTACATATTTTCTTCAATAAAGTTATTCTAAGTGAAATATTACGTTCTGAACTTATATAGAAGATTTGAAACGAACTTTCCGAACAACCTAATATATGTCTATGGGGAGGTGTTACGGAGTTTTGTTTCCATAAGTCCACTCTTTTAAGTTTCATTTGCTCTCTCTCTCTCTTTCTCTCTCTCTCTCTCTCTCTCTCTATCTTTCCCTCCCTCCTTCTATCTCTTTTTCTCTTTCTCTTTCTTCCTTCACTTTCTCTTTCCGAGGCGTACGCGCGCGCGTACAGCAGCCCAGTGAAATGGGTTTCTAATTAAAAAATTCTTCCCGACATATTTCCTATTCCTCTCGTCCTGCCCTGCGTAACGTGGAAAAAGAGAAGACGGACTCTCTCTCGTGAATTTTCAGCCTTCGCATACTCCCGCCGCTCGCGATAGTTATTACACACGTTTGATTCGCCGCGGCGCTCGATACAGGAGCGAAGATTCAAATCGGAGCGTGCACAGCGGCGGGTTTAATTTCCGATGACACAGATACGCGCAGAAGAATCTTACGTTAAATGTCGCGGGCGCCGTTGTCCGCTCATTGTCGCGCAAATAAATACCGGCGTCATTTTCGCGCTCCCAAATTCGGCAAAATTACAGCCGCGTCCCCCTCCACCCCTGCCGCGCGATGCTTCGAAATCCAACGGAGTGCCAAATAACTCATTTACCGAAGACAATCGCCCGTAAAATCGATTCGGCCCGATTCGCTCGCGGTGCCGCGCACACCGATTCAATCACGAGACTCCCTCCTCCCCATCGTCGACCGCGAAAGTAGACGCGCCGTCGAATTTTTCGGAGATTGTGTGCTCGTTACACGCCTCGCCGGGAACCCGACGTTAATTGTCCGTTAAGCGGATCGAAGCGCGTCGTTGTCCTGCTGGAGCCCGCATGGAGGCTGACGAGCGCGCCCGACACGTGTGAGAGAGAGAGAGAGAGAGAGAGACGAACGAGAGACAAACGAACGCCGTGCAGGATGAGGGGGAGAGCTCCAAAGAAATTTTAATCAAGGACCGCGCGTGTGTACGTATGTGGTCCGTGCGAGTGGGTGCGTTCGCTGCGTGTATATGTGTACAAACCCGCCCGCCCGGCCGCTCACTCACGCGCGCGCGCGCTTTCAGTTCCGCGGTAAATTACACATACGGGTCCCATTACCGGACCTCGTTACTTTGGAATCGAAAGCCTCGGCATCTCTCCCGGCCACGAGGAATCGATATCTTCCAATAGCGGGGGACTATCAACCGTCGTTTAGCGACGCTGTCGGCGATTTCGCAAAGAGTGGGAGTCGCGCGAGTGTCATTTCGCGAATTCCCTGATGATCGAGTAGACGAATAGTCGTGCGACGCTCGTCTTCGTCCTCGAATTTGGACCGGGATTATTTATCGGGTTTAACGGCGCGCGATGCGAAATAACGTTTTCACTCCGGAAAAGTTCAAGTCTCTTTCTCTCTCTTTCTCGGAAAAGAAAGGCGTACGGGAGCGTAACGGGAGAAAACGAAGAGGGAGACAGCTCCCTACATCCTTTACAATCCTTTAACGATGACACATTACTTCTGAGCCTTCCCAATGGTCGCAATTCCGGCTACGTTACTGTCACTTAGCGAACGGAGTCGCGAATCTGTCTCGAAGGAGACCGGCAGGTAATCTTCTCTCGAGATTCACTCGGAGGGAGAGAGAGAGAGAGAGAGGAAAGGTTTCGCACGTGTGTACATCCGAGTTGAAATTTTAATTCTACATTAACCCTGCAAATTCCATCGAACTTGAAGAATCAATGGAGAATTTCCGTATATAACACTACGCAGACCATTATTTTACCTTAGTTAGGTACCGAAATAAATAAATGAGCACTTACTGCCGTTTTTTCTCAAGGTTTAATTAAAAAGAAGACATTACGGAATAATTTAATATTTAACCATCTCAATATTCTATTTCTCTGTATTTAATTTTAATTCTTAATTTCGATCAGTAATATATTAAATACGTAACTTATTCAACTGCACATAGAGTACGCGCGAGCCGAGCAAATATTAAATATTTAATACGGGTAGATATCAAACAAATCTTCTTTATTCATAATCCTTTCGGAAGTCATAAAGATGAACGTAGCAATTACGTGCCCAATGCTGTGTACCAGTAAAGATTTAGATTTAGATCCGGTGAAATAACAAAATTAAACAAAAGCGAAAAGAAGATACCAAAAGATTCAATATAGGTTGTGGCCTAAAGAGCATCCGATTTTATTAGACGCAAAAACTATGATTTGCCAGATTAATACCAGATTCTAAGACCAGTATTCGCAGTTGCAAATTATTTATTATCTTAGGTTGAGAACATAATTAATTATAGATTCTTACTCATGAACAGTTATTTGGCTGTTTAGATCGATATTTCTTGTTGCATGAAATAAGTACAGGTGCAAGTTGACAAGTAATCAGCGATTGATGAAGCTAAAATTATCTGTTGAGTGATAACGAACTATAAATACTGAATTAAGTTTCGGCTCAGGTATTTTTGTTCTCGTTAAGTTCGTGAAAAATCCGTTAAAATCAGAAACTCGCTATATAATAGATGCATTTCATACCTTGAAAATGTATGATATAACGCTGACTGCGTCCCAACATCCTCTGTATCCTTGTCTTGATTTTCCGGTCTTGTATCCTGGCTTCTAACTACTCCGTCGTAACACACTGAATACACTCATTCGTGACACTGACACTC